CACAATTAATCAAGTCATTACATTACAAGTTCGAAGTTACTTTCTGCACAAGCTTTCATTCCTTAATATTATTTCCATAAGGATTGTCAACTGGAATTTCCTGGAAAAAGGCTTCAAAGTACTTACTAGCACAATAATCAGAGGTAGTTAATTGACTAAAAAATTACTAATTAGCTAAACAAACTTGAGTTTGTATACCACATAGCATCTTTCTGCCGCCAAATTCCATAGCAAATGTGAAATAGACCATAAGCAAGTTTGACTTGTTTTTTTATTGACATTCAAGCAATTATATGGTGGCGTGACAGGAAATGCTAAATAAGTCACTAAGAATACGGTTGTGGTGGTTGATGAGGCCGGGTTTTCAATTTTTCGTTTTATGATTTGTCGGAGGCGACAACGAGATAACTCATCATGTGTGGTCAGAGAGAGTCTGTTCTTTAAACTCCGTAGTTAGTTGCGTGTTCTAATTTTTTATCCCCTAAACCCTAAATCTTTAGATTCTTGGTAATCCAAGGGATCTCATTTGAAAATAAAAGATATTGATTGGACTTAATTGATCAAAGAACATAATCAAACTTCCAGTCTGTTGTCCAACATCATACTATAGCTAGCTAAGCTAAATCCCAAATGACGTCGTCGTTGGGATTATTTCACTGTTAACTATATTTTTCCGATCTAAGTAGGTGGTTTAGTTGGTGGCACACGCATGATATATATTCTCTGGATTGATTTGGAAGAATTCTTGTATTATATGAAGAACATATATGGGGGCTTTTTCTTCGTAGTTCTTCTTCTGTTAATTAATTACTGTATTATTGAAATTAAACTTGGATTTCATCGTTGTTTATTGTTTGAGTCTTTAAATGTGGGCATGTTTCTAGGTAATTACCAAAAGTCTATGCATAGCACAAATAGTCTTCGTAAGGACTAAGGACTGGCCTCGATGAAGTTGGACTTGTGTTGAAGACTTTGTTTGGACTAGTTGTACTTTTCAATTCATAAAATGTGATATAATATCATCATATGATGGGAAAATACTCAAAATAGACTAGATCGCTAGAATTTATGTATCAAATCCGCTCGTACAGATTGGTAAGTCTTTGGACCGTAGATCTTTAAAAGTCATTTGGTCTGGTCCAAGGTCTTTGTTGTGGAATGGTTTGATCTGTTGGTCTGGTCTGATCGAGATTGCGGGTTGTCATACCAAATCGTGGACTCACCCAACCCGGGTTGGATCTGGTCCTTAAGCCTCATTGTTTAAGGAGGTTCTTAAACCATTTTTATTGGCTAATACTAGATTAGGTAATTAATAGTTAATAGTTAGTTGGAATAAATAAGATATTATGAAAATATAATTAATATTACTCATTAATGATTCTCTTTCTCTCTCCCCCCTTGATCTTCTCCATAATCCTCTCTCTCCACTACAATTAAAAGGAAATTTGAAAATAATTTAATTAAATATTATTAAAAATATTTATGCTCTCTCTCACTTCGTGACAACTTGCAATACAGTATTAACATTTTGCAATGACATTATCAACATTTATGAAATGAATCGTTATTATTATACCTCATCATTATTAACGACTTCAATATACTTATCAATTCCTTTCAATTGCATTATTAACAATTTTGGATCAATTGTTACTATTTTATAGTTTAGTCATCAAAGGCTATGAATGAATCATTAAAGTTATGTAACATAGTCATTAATAGTTTGAATAACAATATCATTGATTTACAACATCTTTAGTACTAATGATTCACATTTTCACATCATGTTTATAACTATCTAGTCATGGCATCTTCCAATGATTTCTAATGACATTATTAACGTTTCATGATCAATTAATATTGCTTTACATTATCATTCTCAATGATCATAAAGCACAATACTAAGTTTCAACATCTTGGGTACTTGTGACATAGTGCACCTGTGTGATTCAGTCAAACAAACATTGTCCAGAAAAAATATTAGCTCAAGCAAACCAACATTCACGCCTCAACCAAATTTTTAATAACAATACAATAAATCATTGATAACGAAAAGTATTTCGTTGAAAATAAACACAAAACATCAATGTAAAAATGTCCGACTTCAACATTATAAATGACATCAAACTTTTAGTAAAGATATTAAATACCATTAATATCGAATGATCAAGTCGCTGATAAGGAAATAGATTTTTGTAATATAATAATATTAATAATATTCAGATGCAATGTTTAATGTCAAATGATACTAAAAACACATTAATAAGTAACATGTGTTTAATGGTGAATGCATCCAAAAACTTTGATAATGATAGCAACTAGTGATTGTTAAGTACCTTATTAGATATTATTAATATCTTATTTTCAAACATTGATAATGCCTATACACGCCAATTAATAATGACACCAAACTACGTTACTAACTTAGACTGAAAGATTAATAACCATAGTTATATCATTAAACGTAAATTCACTTTTGATAATGTCATAAACAAACGAATATCTAACAAGTATGCTTCTTGATAATGACATTTGACAAAGTTACAAACATAAGCGATAAAAATATTAATAATTCAAATCACTAAACATAAGCAATCTTACAAATGAATTAAATTTTTGCTAATGGTTGTATTGTGCTTGGAAAAAAATATTGGTAATAGCACTTCAAATGATTATAAATCATTGCGAACCAAATTGATAATACGATGTAATAGTAAATAAACTTCAAGTACCAACAAATTGAAAACACAATTTCACTTTTTCTAATGTTACAAACAAAACATAACATAAAAAGTTAATAATGTCATATAAAATTATTAAAAAACATGTCGAACAACATTAATAATAACACAAACGAATACCTAACAACGAAAAGCCCTAATGATGATTCAATTTATAAATATTGATAATGTCATTACAAAATGTTAATACTTAAACTAATCGAAAGTTGCCAAGATGTGAGAGAGGCATATATTTTAAATTTCAAATTTCCATTTTAGAAAAATAAAATTATTAAATTCGGATTTTATTAAATATTAAATAAAATTAATTTCATATTTCTTTTTAATTATAATGCAGAGAGAGGGTTATGGAGAAAATCATGTGAGGAGAGAGAAAGAGAATCATTAATTAATAATATTAATTTTAATTATATTTGCATAACCCTATTTACCCTTAACTACCTATTAACTACTAACCCCCATTAACTACCTAATTCACTATCAGCCAATAGGAAGGCTTTAAGATTTTCCTTAAGAAATGAGGCTTAAGGACTTGAACTCAAGCCCACCCAACCCATTTTCCAATCCGTGTTAGCAACATCCATGATCACTCTCTCCAGATTACCCTCTGGATAATCTGGAGACTTGACAATCATAGTTTTCTCGATTACCCTCATAGTTAGCGGGCACTAAGAAAGTATGATTTGTTTTATAACTCATGAATTCGTCAGATATTCACAAAATTGAAAGGTTGATATCGTAAACAAAAATTAAATCGGAAAACCATCCTTAAATTATTGAAATTCTTAGCTCAAATTTCGAATGAACGCCGAAACTCCAACTAGCCACATCTCAATTTTTTCACTTATGCGGAAATCGTGTTGATAATCTGTCGTGATATGCCATATCCTTGACTTTGATTGGAAAGGTTGGACGAAATATAAATCCTTTTAGGTGCTAGATCTCATTGTACCAAATCTTATATATACAGTTAAAACCCTACCCTACTTTTAGGTGCTAGAAATACAAGCACACTCTAAAACCCTACCCTACTTTGCACTATAAAAAGAGATACTCAATTAGCCCAAATCTTATATACAGTTAAAGCGCCTTGTATTTCTACCAAAAAAATAAAGCTCCTTATCGATGTATGGAGGAGGTTGGAGACCAACAACCATTGCCATTTCAATAATAATAATAATAATAATAATAATAATAATAATAATAATAATAATAAATTATACACCAAAAAAGTAAATAAATCTCTTCTTCCTATAAAAGATTAATAAGTTTTTTTTAGGGAAATAAAAGAATAATAAGTTAATAACATTGTTCACTCTATAAACGAAAATTTTGATAAAATATTAGCAAAAAAAAAGAAAGAAAGAAAAAAATCATATATGACAAGCATGGGCCAAGGGGGCTAAATCACTTAAAGCCCATGAAAAGGGAAGCCCAGAGCGAGGTTCCTTCCTTGGTTATTGCACACTCGCCATTGTCTTTCCTAATAGCGAGAATTCAGTACAAAATATATTAGTAGAGGTACGAAATCAGTACAGTGGATTTTTTTTATCTATTTTTATTGTTCACGCTTTTTTCGAATGAAAATTCATCAACCCGAACTTATAATAAATAAGAGTGTCTCTAATACTATTTGTTTAAATCATCTACCCACATTAATTGAACAAAAGAAGATCATCTATCCACATTACTAAAATTGAAATACGAAATTTACCAACAAAAAAAAATTGAAATACAAAAATTTTCAATTACAAAGAATCTCTAATATCATACCATAGACTTGTTCATACTTTATATACAACCGAGTATTTTTTTTTTGTGAGTAAATATACCGAGTATCTCTAATAATACATTTTGTTTAAATCATCTATTCTCATTAATTGAACAAAAACAAAGATCATCGATCCACAGGACTAAAATTAAAATACAAAATTTACCAACACAAATTTTTTTATTTTGAAATACGAAAAATTATCCTAATATCATATCATAGACATATGTTCATACTTCATATATGACAATTCTTAATTACACTACCAATATTTCTAATATTTTCATCATCCCACCGAACGGAGAGTCAATAATAAGACTTTTAATGGACAATGCATCACGCCACCTAATTCAAACCCCAAGTCCCTTTTCCCTTTCCTTCCTCAAACGTCGATCCATTTTTTGTTGGAACCCCAAACATTTAATTTAATGCTACAAACCCAACCTACCCATCCTTCACTATATATAGCTTCCCTTCCTCGCCACTTCCTTCTCCACACACAACACAACCTCCTTCTTCACTCTTCACTCTTCACTCTTCACCCATTTCTTCTAAGCGAAAAATGGAAAACCTCGACAACCACAATACCTTCCTCATGACCTCGAAAGACACAAGCTGGTACTTCTTCACCCTCCCCGCATTCCTCGGCACCAAAACCCTCCTCGGCGATGGCGACACCTACTACCTCCTCTTCTCCCTCCTCGCCGCCTTCCTCTCCCTCGCCGCCGTCACCTGGCTCTTCACCCCAGGTGGCGCAGCATGGCGCCACGGCCGCACCTCCCGCGGCCCGGCCCACATCCCTGGCCCACGCGGGCTCCCAGTATTCGGCAGCCTCTTCGCCCTCAGCCGCGGCCTAGCCCACCGCACCCTGGCTTCCATGGCTTGGGCCAGATCCGGGACCAACAAGCAGCTAATGGCTCTCAGCCTCGGCGGCTCCACTCCCCTCGTCGTATCCTCCGACCCGGCCACGGCGCGGGAGATTCTCACATCGGTCGGCTTCGCCGACCGTCCCATCAAGCAGTCGGCTCGGAGCCTAATGTTCGAGCGCGCCATCGGGTTCGCACCCAACGGCTCGTACTGGCGGCTCCTCAGAAAAATCGCCTCGGCTCACCTCTTCTCCCCGAGACGCATTGCGGCTCACGAGCCGATGAGGCAAGCCGAGTGCGCCGCGATGCTGGACGGCTTGGCCATCGAAATGGCTACCAAAGGACGCGTGGTGCTCCGGTCCCACCTCCAGCTGGCGTCTCTTAACAACATAATGGGGAGCGTCTTTGGGAAGCGATACGACGCCGTGGAGGACCGGTTCGAGCTGGAGCAGCTCAAGGAGATGGTTCGCGAAGGGTTCGACCTGCTGGGCGCTTTCAACTGGTCCGATTACCTGCCCTGGCTCAGCTGGTTCTACGACCCTTGCAAGATCAACGAGCGCTGCGCCAAGCTCGTGCCACGTGTCAGGGTACTCGTGAAGGGAATTATCGAGGAGCACCGAGCGAAAGGGAAGTTCGGCGGTGACGGTGGCGATTTCGTTGACGTCTTGCTGTCGTTGGAAGGAGAGGAGAAGCTCGAAGAGGACGACATGATCGCTGTCTTATGGGTACGTAATATTATTGCATAATAATATTTATTTTTGTTTTTATTATTTGATTTCAATACGTTGCATTTAAGAAATTATATAATACGTTGCATTTACAGGAGATGATATTCAGGGGAACCGATACGACCGCGCTGCTAACCGAGTGGGTGATGGCCGAGCTGGTCCTCCACCCTGAAATCCAGCAGAAGCTACGTGCTGAGCTGGACACCATAGCTGCTGACTTGACGGATGCTGACGTGGCGAAATCGCCTTACCTTCAGGCCGTGGTGAAAGAGACGCTACGTGTACACCCGCCAGGCCCGCTGCTATCGTGGGCCAGGCTGTCCACGTCGGACGTCCAGCTCAGCAACGGGATGGTGGTCCCTTCCGGCACCACGGCAATGGTGAACATGTGGGCCATCACCCACGACCCGGAGGTTTGGGCCGACCCGTTGGAGTTTCGACCCGAGAGGTTCGTGGAGAAAGGCGGCGACGTGGATGTTCGCGGTGGCGACTTGAGGCTGGCTCCTTTTGGTGCTGGACGTAGGGTTTGCCCCGGGAAGAATCTGGGGATGAATACGGTGGCGCTCTGGGTGGCGAAGCTGGTGAACCGGTTCGAGTGGGCCGAGGATGTGGTCGAGCCGGTAGATCTCGACGAGGTGTTGAAGCTTTCCTGCGAGATGAAGCATCCTTTGCATGCGGTGGTCGTGGCTAGGAGTTAGGGTTTTTTTAATAACCATGCAGTGACGTAGAAACAAAGAAGTATGATGGGTGTGGTGGTGATGTTTTGATCTTTTGTTGCTATCTTAGCCCTTAGGGTTTGGATATTTCTGCTCTTTTTATCTTTGTCGCATTTTGGATTGCTATCGATGCCATAAGGGTGTGATAGTTTAAAAGGGAAAGCGTCGTAAAATAATGTAGCGCTTTTCCTAAATCATTTTGGATAATTTTGGAACTATGAATTGCATTTTATTTGACTAAGTTGTTCTGAAGTTTTATTCTTATTGGTTTTCAAATTGGTGTTGCCAATTATTATGATTGTTATGGGAAAAATTCTGAGACCCAAATACCCTGTTTAGTAACCATTTCATTTTCTTTTTTCTCATTCCATTTCATTTACTAAGAGATGGAAACATGGCCGTCCTATGATATTCGGAGGCCCTGTTCGATAATTTAAAACGTGGCCCCAAAATTTTCTCTCAAATTTATTAAAAATATAATTTATTAATAATAATAAAATTATACAAGTTCAGAAAATGATTACAAAAGTAATAATGTTATCTATCATAGTTCAAAGAGTAACAATCGTCTAGTATTATTTGAAATAAAATCTTTTATCAGCCCTTCTATATTCTCTATGTAAATATCTACAAACCGAATTTATTGAGTGCAATATTTCATATACAAATAACTAATGAAACAATAAATGCAAAATTACCAAGTTCATTTGTGCAAAAGATTTAGTTTCACTTCTAATTTTTGAATCGTCATCAAGATCGGCTACTAATATTCAGATTCATCAATTCTCTATTTTCTTTTACGCTTAGAAATACCTTTTTCAAAATTTTGGATTGACGTAATTAAAAATTGAAATCAAAGATTAACGATTTCAAATTTCCAATCAATATTAAGTCCCATACAAAAGAAAAAGGAAAAAGGATAGAACTTAAAACAAGCTGATTAAGAGTTTGTATAGTATGGATGAACATTTATTAGGATTTATTTAAAATTGGGCGTGAATAATTAATATTTAGGCATTAGATGGTTTTAGGAAGTTGAGAAATTTTGAAGAAAGAGAAGAAGAGAGGGGTGAATAAACTAACTGCAAGTTTATATTCATAAAACAACTTACAGCTGAGTGGTTGAATATGTTTAGAATAAAAACGAGGTCTATGGTTCGATTCACATTGCCTGCCCTTTTTATATATAAGGTCTAGTGTGGGTCTTGCCAGGAGTGCAGCTCTGCGGCCCAAGTTGGGTGGGCCTTGCTAAGGTGAGCTCCACCAGATTATGAGGCCTAGGTATACTCTGGCCCGCCTATGAACTTCTATTATGTGAGGCCCTGCCCTTTTTATATATAAGGTCTGGTGTGGGTCTTGCCAGGAGTGCAGCTACGCGGCCCAGGTTGGGTGGGCCTTGCTAAGGTGAGCTCCACCAGATTATGAGGCCAGGTCTAGTGTGGGTCTTGCCAGGATTGCAGCTCTGCGGCCCAAGTTGGGTGGGCCTTGCTAAGGTGAGCTCCACCAGATTATGAGGCCTAGGTATACTCTGGCCCGCCTATGAACTTCTATTATGTGAGGCCCTGCCCTTTTTATATATAAGGTCTGGTGTGGGTCTTGCCAGGAGTGCAGCTACGCGGCCCAGGTTGGGTGGGCCTTGCTAAGGTGAGCTCCACCAGATTATGAGGCCCAGGTATACTCTGGCCCGCCTATGAACTTCTATTATATGAGGCCCCAAAAATTTGAGGCCCTATGTTGTGGGTCTGACCAGCACAGGGCCTGGATGGAAACAGAAAATAGTGTTTACTTTCCATTCCCATTCCATTAGTTTTCATTTGGAGAATCAAATAGTAGGAAATAGTGCCAGTTTTTGGAAGCACAATTTTTCTGTTTCAGAAATGGAAAACGGACGGGTTTCTCCCTTTCTCATTAATGCCCTTTTTATATATAAGGTCTGGTGTGGGTCTTGCCAGGAGTGCAGCTCCGCGGCCCAGGTTGGGTGGGCCTTGCTAAGGTGAGCTCCACCGGATTATGAGGCCCAGGTATACTCTGACCCGCCTATGAACTTCTATTATATGAGGCCCTGTGTTGTGGGTCTGACCAGCACAGGGCCTGGGCCGGGCCTGGATGGAAACAGAAAATAGTGTTTACTTTCCATTCCCATTCCATTAGTTTTCATTTGGAGAATCAAATAGTAGGAAATAGTGCCAGTTTTTGGAAGCACAATTTTTCTGTTTCAGAAATGGAAAACGGACGAGTTTCTCCCTTTCTCATTAATGAGATCCATATATCGAGTCCCCCAACCACCCAAAATCAATTTATTAAACCCCCATATGCCAAAAGACAATCATCCTAAAGGCCGAAACCCTTCCCCCTTCTTCTCATCTGCTCCCAGCCGCAGCCAGCCTCTTATCTCTTCCACTCTCGCCTTCGTTGTCGTCGACCCAGGCTTCACCCCTCGTTGCCGTCAACCCTACCTTCAGCTCCCTGCTCGCCGTCTTGTTCCGCCCTTCAGTCCCCACTCGCCGACGACCCGGCCTCCCCGCTCGCTGTCAACCCGGCCTTCAGCTCCCTGCTCGCCGCCTTGTCCTCGTCCAAGTTGCTATCCCCTGTGCCTCTTCTCGTCATCGTTGCATCTGGTGAGTTGAAACACCCTAACCAGGCCGGGTACTACTTTTACTAAAATGCCCTTGATAAATAAAATACTCATCTTAAATTGCAACTGGGAAAATTTTTCATAAATCAAATACTGAAACACACACACTTGTAGTTCAAAGCACAGCCCTAACCTGTGGGCAAATTAAACTCAAACTTTAAAAACTCAACTTGATCTCCAGTCTATACTCATAATCATAAAACATAATAACTAACTAGTCTCAGGTGTTGCTGCTTGTGTGAGATACTCTGACTAGACATCCTCTGTGACGCTCGTACCGTCCTCCTCTAGCTAGCTTCACTCGAACTGTTTCTCTCGATCTCGCTGCTCCCTAACTGCTCCTCTAGCTTCTTCATCTTCAAACTAGTGAGTGAGATGGGGTCAGTCTATGCCCTTACGTTTAACATCATATTTATACTTGATCACTTTACTTAACTGAGTGGAAGTTGTTTTGTACTTCCACTGTTAAAAAGCTTAACTCTTAAAACTGCATGGGAGTTACCGTTACTCCATTCTTAAATCTCAAATCTTGACTTAAATACTTGACCGACACTGGGATCCCTTACTAGCTAGTCCGATTGCCAACTCATACGTATGAGAAGCCATCAAGGCTTTCCTTAAACTTAAACTTAAACTTAGTTAGAGAAGTCGTAACGATCCATCCCCCTAACATCTTAAACTTATCATGGTGGCTCTTCACCACGATTCTCAAGAGCATAACTGATGCTCATCTTACAAGTCTCAAGAGCATAACTGCTGCTCTGTCTCAAAGATCTCAAGAGCATAACTGCTGCTCTATCTGAAAATCTCAAATGGCAACGGACTGGCGCTAGTGACTAAAAACACTTAAAACGACTTCACCTTCTTGAAGGTGAGTTACTTCTTTAAAAGAACTCGTTTCTTAAACTTTAACAATAACTCTTAGACATCAAGCTTCAAGTAAGAAATAAACTCATCCACAATTCACTTCAGATCATAGCTCAACCATCGCACATATCATCAAACATAATCATGCAATATCAAACATGAATCAAATACTGCACGCACATCATGTAAATCAATACTTAAAAATACTCAAAGCAAATACTTGAAAAATCGTAAGGCATAGAATTAACCCCCTTTACACTCACCTTATTAGTAAATTTGGATTGACCCCAACTGAGTACATGACGTTCCAACTCTTTGCTTTAAGTGCACAGGCTACGAAATCTCCATCCACCTAAAGCACAAACGAAAGCCACATTGTCCTTCTGAGGTTGGAACGTATCCTCCTCATCATCTTCCACAAACTCGAGATTCTCATCCCCCACTTCACCAAACTGACTAGCAAGCATCGAATCAACATCAGACAAATACTTCTCCGACTTGTATCCACTCATAATCCCATTAACCTCGTGAACCATCCTCAACAACCTTGTATAAGCTTCCATGGGAGTCAACGATAGGTCACTAGTCAACCTATCCAGCTTATTAAGCACCAGGCAGGGAGTTAGCTTCTCAATCCAGGCTTGGCGGACTCATCGGAATTCCATTAAGAAGATTGTTGCAATCAGGAAGCCCTTTTGTGAGATGGGCGATCGATTTACAACAGTTTCCTTCGGCTCAAGGGATCCCGATCAAGACCTCACCTCCCTCCATTCTTCTCCCGCTGTTCCATAATTTTCTCTCGGTGCAAAGGAAAAGACAAAGCAATTGGTGGCCCAAGTTGCTGGGCGGTGATGCTAGAAGGCCAAATAAAGGCGGCTGGAAGCTTTTGGCCATTTTGGGAAGCTGCCTGCTTTCCTATGCCGAAGAGAAAATTGAACGGGCTGGGCAATTTGTCTCCTGGCCTCTCGGTAATTGGTAGATTTAGGTTTGGGTAAAACCACGTAACTACGAGGGCCGTGAGAGAAGTAGGGTTAGGTTAGGTTTAATTTTCTTAGGGTTATTTTGGGAATTTCATAATTACGGGTGAGTTTAATCCGAAACTAAACTAACGTCTGTAACAAATTCGATTTATATCGAAACTCGATACCGTTTGAATCGAGAGTTCGCATTTTTAGTCCTCATCGATATACGATGGAATTTGACCCAAAAATATAATAGTCATTTTGACTTTTGGGAAGAGCGGGGTGTAACATGAGTTTCTTATTCTAGGTATGATTTGAAGAGTTGGATCTAACTGCAGAACCACTTACAGCCTTCTTTGGTTGCTTCTTTTGCTCTATCTCACATTATCTTGCACTAATAATCAATTTGGCTTGTATATGATTTTCATCTGTAGAGATTGAGAACCTACTGCCGATTTATATAGGAAACATTCCTGGTCTGCTGTGTTTTTGCTGCGCTGCCACTCTGCTTGCATCATCCACTAGTGAGTAGTATTTTGGATTAATATGAATTTATCGTCCTCTTCACTATTTCAGCAATCTTTTGATTAATCCTTCCTTTTGCCCACTCACATGCGATCCATCCTTCTTTGAAAAGCAGAGCACATCTTTTAATTAATCTATATATGAACCCCTAGTTAACCCATGCATGTCCTGTTGGTGTTTGATTAATTATTGTTATATATAT